ATATTCTAATTCATATTCTAATTTGTATTCTAATTCACATTCTAATTAACATTCTTTAATAAATTTAGTAATCAATGGTCAAAATGCTGCTTGGAAAACACCCAAATTATCCGAACCATTTTTACGAGCTCGTGGTGCCATTATACAAGATATAGTTATAAAACTTGTACCTCAACCAAATAATCCCATAACACCACCAACATCACCTAAAAAATTTTCACAAGATGAATTGGATTCTTCTTTAAAAAAATTATTTAAAGATTCTTTAAAATCCGGTGATCGTCCTCCAGATATGGCTCAAATAAAATCTTTATTAGATCAAGGTGCTAATCCAAATATTCGTTTATTACAACCAAAACCATCAAAAGAACGTTTAAATAATTTATATAATCATCATCAACCTTCAATATCTCAAAATGCCGATTTATCTAGATCAAAGACACTACAATCTGTTTATTCTTATAGTTCAAATTCTTCTTTAGGTGATAATGATTTAAAATCTTCTTTCTCTCAATTATATAGTCATAAATTACCAAATATTTTATTTGCTACTATAATATTATGTGATGATCCGGTATATGCAAAGATGTTAATTGATCATGGGGCGGAGGCTTTACCAAGAGATTCTCATTTTCCAAATGCTTTCATTTTTGCTGCAAAATATGGTCGCGTTGAAATTATGAAATGTTTATTGGAAAATGTTCCAAAATTAAGCGATAATGAAAGTGTTGATATTGAAGATGATTCCTCAAATGTTGGTGGAAGTAGTGGGGGAATTGGCGCTAAGGAAATTAAGAATTATGGAACAAAAATATGGAGTGGTTTTACTGGTGAAGTTAAAAAATTAAAGAATCATATTAATAGAGCTAGTAATTTGTATAAATAAGATAATTTTTGTTTTATTTTTTATAAAATAAGAATCTATAATTTTTAAAAAAAAATTAATAATCGAAAATCTTTTCAGCAGCCATGATAGTAGCAATTTCACTAGTTGTACATTACTGATTAATATTTATAGCTTGAATTAAATAAATTGCTTTTTTTATGGATATACTGTACTAAATTTATGGATGGAAATCCTTTATTTTTTGATTTCTATTCATAAGTATCTAAAATAATAAAAACGCAAATTATGCAAATTACAACAAAAAAAAAAAAAATAAAAGGTTCTATCACATTAAAGTATTATTAAAAGAATATATATGTAATGACTATAAATCAAGTCACGTAAGAATTATATAA